TGGTTAATGGTTAAAAGCAAGATAAATGTGCTAGACATCTAAGGTCATGTAGCACTATAGTTAATGTTAGTGAAGGGTGGTTGAGTTACTGATTAGTTGTCTAAGCTGGGCAAAGGAATTAGTGAGTGAAAGGGTTAAGGTCGGGTGTTATATTAGATAAAGGGTATGCATAAGAAAGGTTTCTTGAAGGCATACAATAGATGGGTTATAAGAGGAAAGGATATGATGGTCAGGTCTGTGGGAGCGGAAACCGCGAATATTCCAATGAAGGATAGTTATACTTTCGTTGATTTAGTGATATAGATTGTAGTACGTGTTGGAGAATTTGAAGGGGAAGCAGCTAGAGGGTGGGATAAGGACTGAGAGGTTTGAGATGGGAGAGGTGTGGGAGTTGGTGTTCTATCAGGAGGGGTAGTAGGAGATGGAGGGTCTGAGGAAGGGGATACTTGTGACATAAGGGATTCACGTGTGTATCCAGGAGGGAGTGGAAGGGATAGAGGGGATGGTGGGAGAGTTAATGTGGGCAGGGTCAGGGGGGATGGGCTGTGTTGGGAGGGGGTAGGAGGGTAGGGTGTAGGGGGGATATCGTTAGGAGGAGGATGGATATCAGCAATTACTTGGAGTGTGGAAGGAGCAGGAGTTGTAGGTTGAGTGTCGGTTTTCATTAAGTAATCTTGAATATTTTCAATAGTTTCTTCTGTGGAGTTGGTTGGGGAGTTTTGGGGGATAAAGGATTTCTTGTGAGGGGGGGAAGAGAGGACTGGTGTCTCAAGAGTACGGGCAAAGGATGGTGGGGGTGATTGTGTGGTAGGGGAAGAGGGGGTGGAACGTTTGTTCTGTCTGTTACGGGGAGTGCGAGGAGGGAGAGGGGAAGGTGTTGGGGTTGTAGTGGTGATTGGAGTATCTGTAGTAGAGATTGGAGTTTCTGGATTTAGGATGGCAAAAGAGTTTGACTGGGGAAGGTAGGTGGGGTTAGTGGGGGGGTTAGATGTAGGAGGGGTGGGTTTAGGAGAAGTGTTAGGATGAGCAGTATTACTGGAGTAAGGAGTAAGAGAGAATCCACGTCGACGTGCTTCCTGTCTGGCTTCACGCAGTGTGAGTCCGAGTTTGAATCTGAGAGTTGCTACCTCAGATTCAAATTTGTAGGTGGGACAGCCCCTATAAAATACATTATGGGGGCCGCCACAGTTGGCACATGTGCGTGATTGTGCACAGCAGTTAGATCGGGTATGGCCAGGTTGGGCACATAATGGGCATCTGGCTGTGGAACGGCAGTGTTTGGCTGGGTGTCCTAGACGCCAACAATTTTGGCACTGACGTGGAGGAGGTTGGTATGGACGAACAGGGAGGGATTCTCCTCCTATGTAGACGTTAAAGGGAAGGTCATGTCTACGGAAGGTAATTTTGGCTATGTTAGTGGGTTTCTTTCGATGACCTCTGGGGGGGATGGAATAGCATTGTACTGATGTTGCATCGTAGTCTGTGAGACAGGCAAGTAGATCTTCTCCACAATCTGACCATTCTTTGTCATAGATTGGGCAATTTGTTGGTGAGATTGAGACTGTTCCGGTGCAAGTATTGAGGGTTGGATGGGGTTCTGCTAGGATGGGGTTACCATATAGGTCAGTTAGTTTTGTTAGTGCTATGGCTTGGTTTTCGGATGTTACTGTTACAAGACGGGAGCGGTCGGGTCGGCTACGGAAAGAGACTTTACCTACTTGTTTTTGGAGGCATTGTTGGAAGAGAAGGGTGTTGTTAGAGTAGGGAGCTGTGGGAGGGATCACGAAAAATCGGTCCCATTTGGCTGCACTGAAGAGAGTATTCAAGATTGTTTTAGAGATAGGGGTGGTAGAAGGGCGAGGGCGTGACGGAGATGGAGTTGTGTTGATGGAGGTAGTGTTATGGAGAGGTGGGCTATAAGGCTGTAAGGTATTAATAAGGGAGGATGGGGTGGTTGATGTTGGAGGTTGTGGGGGTAGAGGTGTTGAAGTTGGGCATGCTGGGAGAGTGGAAATGTCCCTTGAGGGTTGATTGTTGGCTACTGTACTAGTAGGCATTGGTGAAGGGGTAGTTATTGCAGTGTTTGGAGCCGTGGTCAAAGGAGAGCCTGGGGTCGGGGAATCGGGTGGTTTACTTCGTTGGGGCTATTTGATAAAGGGGCAAGCCTCATTGCCCCTAACATTGGGGATATATTTTCATTACTGGCCATGGGAAGCCTGGATTATGTTGGGGATAAAAGCAGTCCACCCCTCAGGGTCCCCTTGAGGGGTAAGGGCTAGATAACTAAATCAGGGGAGTACCGTGCCCATGGCTCCCTCAGGCCGTTCAGGACTGGCACAAAGTCAGCCTTTCATCCTTTCAGCACGGCTCTCACACCTTAGGAGGTGGATAGCAGAAGGGTTTGGTGAAGGGACAGAAACAAAAGTGGGAAGGGAAAAAAAAGACCATGCATAATTAGTTGAGTCGAGGGCTGAGTCCCAAGGTTGGGGAGTTCCCCATCATTGGGTCCCAGTCTCCGCCTCCCATGGCTCCCTCAGGCCGTTCAGGACTGGCACAAAGTCAGCCTTTCATCCTTTCAGCACGGCTCTCACACCTTAGGAGGTGGATAGCAGAAGGGTTTGGTGAAGGGACAGAAACAAAAGTGGGAAGGGAAAAAAAGACCATGCATAATTAGTTGAGTCGAGGGCTGAGTCCCAAGGTTGGGGAGTTCCCCATCATTGGGTCCCAGTCTCCGCCTCCTAAGCCCCCCCACGACAACAACGGGCAAGGGATTGGGGGGGTACTGGCCATGGGAAGCCTGGATTATGTTGGGGATAAAAGCAGTCCACCCCTCAGGGTCCCCTTGAGGGGTAAGGGCTAGATAACTAAATCAGGGGAATACCGTGCCCATGGCTCCCTCAGGCCGTTCAGGACTGGCACAAAGTCAGCCTTTCATCCTTTCAGCACGGCTCTCACACCTTAGGAGGTGGATAGCAGAAGGGTTTGGTGAAGGGACAGAAACAAAAGTGGGAAGGGAAAAAAAAAGACCATGCATAATTAGTTGAGTCGAGGGCTGAGTCCCAAGGTTGGGGAGTTCCCCATCATTGGGTCCCAGTCTCCGCCTCCTAAGCCCCCCCACGACAACAACGGGCAAGGGATTGGGGGGGGGCTAGATAACTAAAATCAGGGGAATACCGTGCCCATGGCTCCCTCAGGCCGTTCAGGACTGGCACAAAGTCAGCCTTTCATCCTTTCAGCACGGCTCTCACACCTTAGGAGGTGGATAGCAGAAGGGTTTGGTGAAGGGACAGAAACAAAAGTGGGAAGGGAAAAAAAAGACCATGCATAATTAGTTGAGTCGAGGGCTGAGTCCCAAGGTTGGGGAGTTCCCCATCATTGGGTCCCAGTCTCCGCCTCCTAAGCCCCCCCACGACAACAACGGGCAAGGGATTGGGGGGGATCTGCCAGGGTTGATAATGCTTTCACTTGGATTTCGGTTGTAACTGTGACATGACGGGAACGAACTGGACGAAAACTTTGCCTACTTGTTTTTGGAGACATTGCTAGAAGAGGAGTGTTGTCAGAGTGAGGAACTGTGGGGGTGGATCACGAAAAATCGGTCCCATTTGGCTGGGCTAAACAGAGTATTTAAGATGCTTGTAGCACAAATTAAATGTTGGCTACAGAGTATTCTTTGTGATCAGTCACTTCCGGACACCCGAGGCAGGATGGGGTAGTTAAAGAAAGTTGTGGGGGTAGAGGGGATGAAGCTGAGAATGTTGGGAGAGTAGGAGTGTCTCCTGGAGGTTGATTGTTGACCTAGCTGGACATTGTGATAGTAGGCATTGAATAGGGGTAATGCTAGCAGTGTTCAGAGTCGTGGTCAAAGGAGAGGCTATTTAATGTAGAGGTAAGCCTCATTACGCCTAATAATGGTATTAACTCTTCATTACCGGCCATGGTAAGCCTTGAGTATACTGTGGAGAGAAACAGTTCACCACTTAGGGTCCCATCGAGTATGGGCTAGACAATTATACAGAATACCTTGCCCATGACTCCCCTAAGCCGTTCATGACTGGCAAAGTCTACCTTTCATCCTTTTAACACGGCTCTCACACCTTAGGAAATGTATAGTAGAAGGAGTTGGAGAAAAGAAAACCGTGGAAATCAATTGAATCGAGGGCTGAGGCTCAAGGAAGAGGTCCTAGGATTGGGTCTGTCTTCGTTTCCGAAGCCCACACGAACACTACAGGCAAAGGAATGGGGTAGAAAACGAAGACGATTGTGCAGGAGGTGGGTTGGAGGATATTGGGAGTGAGGAAGGTTATAACATGGGTAGACGATTCAAGATGGGTTGACAGTACGTATAGAGGAGGGGGGTGTAGTAGCAGTGGTTGGAGTTGTGATCAAAGGAGTGTCAGGGGTCGCCAAACCAGGAGTTTGATTCAGAGAGCAGAGCTGATAAAGGGGCAAGTCTCAATGCCCCTAATACGGGTACAAAATTCTCATTACTGGCCCAAGCAAGACTGAAATATGCGGGGGAGATAAAAGGTCCACCCCTTAAGGGTCCCCATGAGGGGTAAAGGCTAGACAATTAACAGGTTGTTCATGACTGGCACAATCAGCCTTTCATCCTTTCAACATGATTCTTGTACCTTAGGAGGAGGACAGGGGAAGGGCTGGGGAATACAAGAAAAAAAAAGGGGAAGAAAAGACTGAAGGCTGAAGGTCAAGGTAGGGTAGATACCCAGCATTGGTCCTCTGTGTGTCTCCTAAGCCCCCATTACAACAACGGGCAAGAGATTGGGGGGGAACACCAAGGTTATATTTGTTTCTACTCTTTCTGCTTTTCGTACGCTAACTCTTTTGAGCATTTTAAAGAACTGTATATTTACCCTGTTTACCACACATTTGAATATTTGTATATACATTGATATTACATCACTTATTTTCATTTTTCTTCCAACTTTTCCTTCTTATTTTCTTTTACCCTACAGCCAAGGGATAAAGAAAACAACAGATAACTGCACAAGCTTTTATTACATTAAAGAGGAAAATGTACGACTTTTGGAGAAGAAAGCCTGGCCCCAATCATTATAATACTATGGAAATCAAAGAAGCCCCAGTAAGTTTTAAAAGCACCAACACCACTAATGCCCACTTGCTACTGCTCAGCTCTCTGTTCTTATATATGCACATCTTTAAAATTTTGGTAATGAATTTAATTTTTTTTTTTTTTACAATCTAGGTGATCTAACTAAAAGACACAGGAGAGGAACTAGCACAGTAAAAAAGCCGTCAGTCTGGCAATTCCAGATGTTAAAACCCCGGTGTCTTTTATTGATCACCAAGCCACTGTAAAAGGTGTGCCCTCGCTTCCTAGTGGGGAGAGGTGCTTCCGATTTCAATTAGCCGTCTTATCAGAAGCTCCTGATGGTAAAACTCTCTACTAGACTTCCAAAAGGGCAACACTTCCCTATACTCTTAAGGTTACTGAGCAAAAAGAAAAAACATAATTTAAAGCCAAACTGTAGGTGCAACTTTTTCCTACACACTTTAGGAATATAACTGTGCACTACGGTAAGCCAAGAGTAAACTGTGGGGACACTGAGCATGGCAAGGGCAGCAGTTTACAGACACCATGACTCTACACAGCTGTTATGCAGACCTCGTCATAACTACCGCGAGCCTGTTAATGATGGGACCAGCTTCTTGTTTTGATAGTTGCATAGGTGAAAGTGAAGAAAATAAATGGAGACGAAAGTGTCAAATTTTGGCTATGAGTAGCTCATTCACAACCTCACCTATAGATGGTAGCTTAGCTGCCATAGCTTACCAAAGCTTTTGCAGTGAGAAGCCAAATTACAATTTTGATCACTGTTAAGATAACTGCCAAAAGTACTGGAATCTAAATGCATTATAATGTGCACACATATATTATTTATGACTGTGACTATGGTCTTTAAAATAGCATCTCTTGAATAACCTAGAAAAATCAGGATAAAGCTCTCAAAGTGTTGCAAGCTACTGCGAGAACAGAGTGCGTGTGAACTCGATGTAGTCCAGGGCTCCAGGAACCGCCAGATTGCTTTTGGGGTCGACATATGGTTTCATGCGACCGACGCAATAGTCCGCCATTTCTTTGGTGAGGTTCTAAAAAGAGAGAGAAAAAAATTATATATATATATGAATTAATCATAACAGAATTGTAGTTTCCTTTATAAATGTAATACCTACTATATTTTCTATTACACTTACTAACTTGATTATTATCAAAATTGCACATGGCAACATATCATATATTACCCATCTTTTTGACTTTTTGATCCAGTAATTAAAAACTATCTGCCATTTCATTTCCTTTACAATGTCAAAACAAGAAATGAGATTTGAAATTACCTGGTATAGTTCTTCCCGTAACACATAGGGGCGGTCTCCTGCCGCAATGGCACGGAAGGCGTTTTCGATCTCCTCGGAGCTGTGGACATTCTCTGTTTCTTTGGAGATCATGAAGGCCATGTACTCCTGCAGGGAGACAAAGCCATCCCTGTTTGGATCCACAACATCCAGGATGGCCTCAAACTCAGGATCACTCTGCCCTTCTTCAACCATGGGTAGATCGTAACCTAAAGCACGTAGACAGGATTTGAACTCGGCATGGTTCAGGCGACCGGTCTTCTCCTTGTCGAAGTGCTTGAACATCATGCTGAACTCCTTGAGGGCATCTTCTGACACACCCGACTGGTTTCGAGCTTGGATCTGTTGCTCCAAGTTGTGCTGCATTCGCATTCCAAGCTGGTCCAACTGATCCCACTGCTGCGCCAGGCCCACCGTGCTGGAGAGTGGTATATGGATGTGAGAATTGCTGGAGTTCTTTAATCCCTTACACTATACAAATAATTAAGTGAATTATTTTATTTGCTATACTAATCTAATGTCAAAGCCAGCTAGAATTGCCTTCCAGGGCAAAATCATCTCATCCTCACTGAATCATCAATATACTCATTCAGTTTCAAATTCATATTCTTTGTAACCCAATTACGACCCTTACTCCCTTTCCCTTACTACAAGTCTTCCCTTTCCTCTCCAGCCATCCACTCAGGCCTCACAAGTACGTACCTGTGTTCCGTGTATCGGTTGTCGAGAATAAGATGCTCTTCCAGAATCTGTCCCAGGTCCTCAATCTTCTTCAGGTCCGCACGCCTAGCTCGTACCTCAGCTGCTTTCTGCCGTGTGGCTTCAAGCTGCTGCTCCAGTGTGCCTGAGCCCTCCATCATCGATGACCTAATAGAAATACACCCTACAGTTAATTACTGTCACAAAAGGAAAGTAAATGTGGTGTTTCCTGAAGATCATGTTTGCATTAACCTCTCATTTGCTAATAATTCTAAATTCTTGTTCTATCTGCCAAAATCACTCTGTGATTATATCTTCACTAATGCAACATAGAAATCGGTGAATTAGCATACAAACACTATATACATTGACTGAGTACCAGTAAAAATTAAAATAAAAAACAAAACAAAATCAAAAAACCCTATGTTAAAATAACTCAGAATTCTTGTTAATATAGAATGCTGCTAGCATAGTACACAATATACATAAAACACAGACACAGACACACACACACACACACACACACACACACACACACACACACACACACACACACACACACACACACACACACACACACACACATATATACGAACAAATACATATATATATATATACATATATATATATATATATACATATAAATATATATACATATAAATATATATACATATAAATATATATACATATAAATATATATACATGTAAATATATATACATGTAAATATATATACATGTAAATATATATACATGTAAATATATATACATATACATACGTATATTTGCATATACATAAATATATATACATACATATATATATATATATATATATATATATATGTATACATATAAATACATATATATACAAATATACATATATCCTTAAATATATATATATACACACAATGTACACATATACATATATATACTCACAAATATACACACACAAATATATACACGTACACACGCACACAAGCCCCCCCCCCCACACACACACACAAAATTCTGTTAAAATTCTCAAAACTTCAAAATAAAAATATGATAGCACCAACCCTATAGCTCATCTCATATGTTTGTATTACTTAAACAAATATTAGGCAACTGTACACAGAGAAAAAAACTAAAAAATAAAAAAAATAAAAAATAAAAAAATAAAAAAAATAAAAAAAATGTGAAGTCTGTCAAAGAAAAAAATATGTATTTACATATATTGCCACTAATCTACCTCCACAGAAATCAAACATCTATTATGCAGATAATAAATAACAATAATCAAAAACAGCATTAAGCGTTTGCCATTACAATCTATTCATTCAGTCACTGTCTGGTGTATTGTGTTAATATGACAATGATTTCTGAAGCCAGGCCCCCAAACAAAAGTGTTACAAAATCGGCTCATTTCCCAGTCGATCTTTAGTGATATGTTACCCTGGAGAGAAAGTGCAAGGTTAGATGGTTAATCTTAAAACTAAAATTAATGTTGACTGTGCACAGCTGTAAGCTATTGTGAATGTGTTGGTCACACTCTGTTTAGTCCAAAAATGTTGCCTGTTGTTTTAAATGTATACATTAACAATGAAATATTACCACAACCAATCAAAATTAGAAATCAAAATTAGTCAAGAAAGCTAGATAAATCAACAAGTGAGTCCTTAAAAAAAAATCTTTTAAATGAACAATATTAAAATATTAAATATTAAAAGGAAAATGACATCCATATATTATAAACTAATCATACTGGGAGCACAGCTTAAAAAAAAGATAATAAAAAAAAAACATGTAGGGAAAATAATCAAACAAATGACGCACCATAATAGCATAAGTGTAAATGTGTTCCAGTCATCTCCTTTATCATAAGACAGTCTCCAATTTATTGAAAAAAGTAATTCATTTAGAATCTAGTACTGTCAGAGGATAAAAGAAACTATGAATTTCAAGTAAGAGATGTGTAAAATTCACAAATTAATAATATAGTTGCCTTCTGCCAAAAAACATGTCAACTGAAGAGCTTGAGGGTTATCAGAATGAGCAATAATAAATAACCCAATTTTACTGAAAATGTTACCCAAAACATCTCAAGATATGTTTGATACAAAGGAGTTGCTTTTGGCACAAGACAACTTTCTACAAATCAGTGGTTAATTTCAAGCCATAACCAAGCTCATGCAATAGTGCACGATATTGACCTCTCATCATAGCCGATAAGGGAGAAGCCCAGCAGACTAAACCTGTTTAGAAGTAAAAAAACAAAATGGGTCAGCCCCACGTTCTCCATGTGAGCTCAGCGCCACATCACCTGCTGTCATCAGTGCCACCACCACCACCATAAGCTCATAACAAGAGACATTTGAAGCACATCTTGGGAGTCATTTGACTTGGACAAAACACGTCTTTAGCAAATTTTCCAAAGCTTGCGAATTCTACATAATTCATGAATATATATATATACACAAACACCCAAATATATTTACATAAAAAGTTGAGATACAATCAAACTGAAACAAAAATAGTGTGTCCTATTCCGTATGATCTTGTATGTTAACGTTATCAGGAAATTCTTATATTCTTATATATAATAAATCTAAACAACAGGCCTTTACCTGGTATCTGTCAACAGCTGGTGGAAAGCATTGGCATGCTTGGCAAACTCCTTTCGTAGTTTGTCGTTCTCTTCCTGTCTTTGTGCTTCCTTGGCAAGTTCCATGTCTCGTTCCTGTTGTATAATCACATATGAGCATCTCCATATTTAAAGAAAGTTTCAAAGCATCACTTCTGAATTATGAGGCTACAAGGAAATATCACCTTGCTATTTTTGTCTTTGTATTAAGCTAAATGCATTGACAGAAATGCAAAGTCAAGTTACAAACTTGGCAATAATCTTTACTCTTAAATTCTAAACAACAAAGCTTACCTTGATGATCTTCTGCAGGTTACGCCAGGTGTCTTCCAGGGCTTCCATGGTGAACCAAGTGTAAGGATTTGGTCCCACATTGTAGCTCTTAATCTGCTGGTCTAGAGCAGCCAGGGCCTCAAAGTCTGCCTGGGCTGAAGACAGAGAAGCCTGGAACTGGGCATGTGCTTCACGCAGTGCCCGAATCTCCTCAATGCTGTTAATAAAATATATAGCTTAGTACAAATGTAAAGAGTCTTTACACCCAGTTAATAAAGATAAAGAAGACTTAAGTGAAAGTTATATTTTTGTTGATTTCTGTATACTCAATTCTGTGTACCAGATAGACTACAATTTACTATCCATATAAAAAATTGGCAAGAAAGTCTAAAGAAGTCTTCACTCTTACCTGTTGCAACGCACAGGATCAGTGAGATCTTCTTCAGCATTCTCAAACCAAGAGTTGAAAGCAGATGCCTTCTTGGCAAAGAACAGGTACAGCTCCTCGATTTGTCGGAACCGCTCCTGTTAATGGGAAATAAAAAGAAAGACAATTATTAGCAATATTTCTACCTGCTGGCATAAAATTGTGAAATATCAATGACAGACTGAAAATAAATAAAAGTGTATGTATTTCACCTGCATGACTTGCAGTTTCTTCTTGCGGTCGAGAGAGTCGTCAAGAAGCTTCTTCCAGCGTGCAATCACATCGCCATGGCGTTTGATGATGGATTCAGACTGCTCATGGTTACCAGACACCAGCTGATCCTTGAGGGCAGTGATATTCTGGATGCCCTCATTTTCAAAGGCAGCCAAACCTGAGATGGGATAAACACAATGATGGCATAACATTCATATAAACTTTGGGCAAATGTATGAAATTTAACTTCAAATTAGTAATGCTTGAGTTCTTTAGAATAATGTTCCATCATTAATTCATCATGCTGCATATTTACAACAAATAATACTTACCAGCATCAAATGTCTCCTGTTTTGTCAAGAGAGTCTGGACAGTAGAAAGATCTCGTCCAAACTCCTCAGACTTAACATGGCTCTCCTTGTCAGCAATCCAAGACTCGACAACATCAGCCTTCCAGATGAACTGCAAATAAGCCAGGCTATCGGCCAACTTGCTCTTCCTTCGTGCAGCAATGCCACTGAGGGCCTCCAGTTTGTCCTTCAACTGCTGGCACCTCTGCTTGATGGATTCAGCATGGTGATTGCCTTCTCCTACCAGCTTTGAACCAGCCTCACACACATCATTGCAACGGTCACGATGCACAGCAAAATCTGTTTCAAAAGCATCATGCTTCTTCAGGAGTCCCTGTGCAGCAGCCATGTTATCACCATAATCAGGGACAGAGAGTAGCTGGGTCTTCTCACTTATCCAGGCCTCTTCCTCCTCCACCTTAGCCAAGAACTGCTGGTAAATGAGAGACTGGTCCAATTTCTGGCCTCTTTGGTCAGCCATTGCCTTCAGCTGGGACCAAGTCTCAGACAGCTGCTGCAGGCGGGATTCAATTTCAGAAACACCAACATTTGAGACGCCCATCAGTTTCTCACCAGCCTCCTGCACTGACTGGATGGCAGGCTCGTGAGATGCTAGCTCAGCCTCGAGACGCTTGTGTTTCTTGCGCAGGTTCTGGACACCAGTGAGGTCACGACCATAGTCTTCTGATGCCACGAGCAGTTTCTTCTCCTTAATCCAGGATTCTTCATCTGCAATGTCACGGAAGAATTGGTGGAGGGTGAGGGCCTCATTCAGGCGTGACTGACGATGAGCAGCCAGGTTCTTGATGCGCTCATATCGTTCATTGATGCTCTGGCGCTTCTCCTGAATGTTGGCAGTGTCAAACTGGCCACTTTCCACAAGGGAATCAGCCTGTCCATTCATGTCATTAATGCGATCTTCATGAGCCTGGATGTCAGCCTCAACCAGCTGATGTTTCTTCATCAGATTCTGGACACTAGCAAGGTCTTTGCCAACATCCTCATTGGTAAGGAGAGATTCCACCTCACCAAGCCAGAAGTCCAAGTCCTTGACAGCAGCAATGAATGTGCGCTGCTTGTTGGCTTCCTTGAGCTTCAGGGACTTTTCAGCTGACTTCTGAGTCAAGAAGTCCCACTGCTCAGAGATGGATTCCAGCCTTTGCTGCACAGCCTCTTCTGATCCAGCACACTGGTGTTTGTCAATGAGGTTCTGACCCATTGCAAGAACAGCTTGGATCCTGTCAGCATTGGCAGCCAATTCAGCTTCAAATGCCTGATGTTTCTGGTGCTTTGATTGGATGTTTGCAGGATCCTTGAAGCTCTCCTCCGTAGCAACCTGGAGCTTCTCAGCAATCCAGTTTTCAATTTCATCAGCATCACGAGAGAACTGCTGGAGAGTCTGTGACTCACCAAGCTTGGAGCGTTTCTCAATCAGGGCTTCCTTGAGATGCTGCCAGCGTTCCAGCACCTGGCTTCTCTTGTCACCAATATCCTTGCTGGCATAATGT